ACAGTAGATGTCATGTCATTCCATAATGCTAAATATTAAAACTTGATATTTTTAATAGTTATTATTTTAATATATGATGAATTAATTTAATCATGTTTAATTGGGCATTTCAAATCTTTCAGTGTAGAATAATAAATTAAATAAATTTCAATGTAAATAAAATAAAAAATATTTATTAATTGTAATTGAGAATTAACGAACGAGCATGAAAATTATCTTTTCCTGGAGCTTTCCTAACAATAAGAAATCTAACTTCTAAACTATTTTTATCAATTAAGTCAAAATAATTCTTTAAATAATAATTGGCTAGAAATAAAATATATTTCACCAAATATCTCGATTTCATCAATTATATCTATGACAAAATTGGTTTTTACGTGATAATATCTGTTTTAACTTTATGACAATATTGGTTTGAATGCGACAATACCTGCTTAACTTTGTTAGATGACCGTAAGAAAAGGCACACAATTTGTCAAATTTATGAAGTTATGAAATAAACAATAGTAATGCACAACAAAGTCTTTGTAATATGTATTTGAATTGGCTTAATACACGCCTAGCGTCCATTTATTTAGAATTTTCACAAACAAACGAGGTAACAACCATGTGGATATTTCCAAACCATTAGAATTCTATTTTAGGAGATGAATTATAGTTATTAGATTTGATAAATCTTTATTAGTATAATGTGTAGAATTTATTTTTTATTTGTATAATAATAGTAGTAATGTTTTTTTTTTTATAGAAGTCATGCGTCGTAGCCAGAAAATTTTTTTTAACTCGGGACTGCATATTATTATAGTTATTATTGGAACCGAGTAGACTTGTTCATGGGCCAACCCAGCCTGACGGTTCGGCCCGAACCGACACAAACCGGCCGGTTGACCATGAGCCTCGAACTGGCCCGTGGTTTTAACCAGTTTGGTTCATGTACAATACTTTATAGTTTATACATTTTGAACCGACAGTTTCGATTCTGAACTGAAACCGCAATCGAATTTTTTTTTTAAAATAATTTTTTAATTATTTTTTATTTTTTTTAATGAACCAGACGCCCAAGAACCGACAGTTCAATGAATCGGCCCGTGCATATGTTCGCGCCGGTTCAGGACCTTCCTCCAGCTCTCAACCCGAGATTAGTGGTTTCGACCCGTAACCGGGTTTGGTCATGACTAGAAGCGAAATATCTTTAACATATTTCCGTTTGAATTGGAAAAACTCAATCTCGACTCATTTATATATTTAAACAAGTCAAACTCAAATAGCAAATCGAACTTGCCGATCTAACAAATAGAGTCGAACATGTTTGCAATCAACTCTGTAAGAGTTTTTTTCATTGTCTAAAAAATGAGGACAAATTAATTATTGGAGGCAAAATCAACAAAAGAACAAACGAAAATGGATAACGGACTGTGCAATGAGACGAGTCCAATTAAATAGCCCGCAGGAGAAGTGTGTGTCGAGCTTAATTATCGAACTCATTTGGTACTTATCAAGTCAGCCCCATTAAAAGTTTAAAAGACAAGAGTATGTTGGGCCACATTATAAACCCAATTGATAAAAAATTAATAAGGTCACAATTGTCATTTGACAATAAAAGATTATCTTTTTTTCAACTCACTACGATCATCACTTTTCTACCATTGTTGTCAGATAAAAAATTCAACCTGAATTTTGAGACATCCAACCAAACTAAACGGGGCTACATAAAAATTACATGAGGTTACATATAAATTTTTTTAAGAAATAAGGTGTTGATAAACGAAATTTAACAACGTAATTAAGGTGTAAGAAATGACAAATATAGCAGAAAGTAGAACTTTTATTAAGCTTTTTGAAGTCGATAACGATATTGAAGAAGTCGGTTTTTACAGTACGGGAGGTCGGTCTCGTGGAGAACCGAGTTATTGAGTACTAGAATTTAATGTCTCGGAATCCGGATCCTCGTATCGAGTTAAATGCAGCTATTTATAGTAATATTCTACACGCCTTTTGAGGAGATGCGGCGGCATTAAATGCGAAGTGACACCATAGGGGATGCTATGACATAAGCCGACATGTAGGCAATGATGAGGGTATGAGCAGCCCATCAGTTGATTGACAGACGTCCCCTTTTGTCGGATTGAAGTCGGTTCTTTGTGACTTCGGTTTCTTCGCGAGGTCTCTATTCTCTATGACCATTTGGCGAGCTATTTATGTCGAGGTGTCGACCCAATATCGAGATGACCCTGGGAACAGCTCCTCGCGATTCGGCACTTCAACGTTTAGCTCTAACAATCTTCATTAACTTTCCCGAGGTGCTTTAATTTGCGGAATTCGAATTTAGTGTCAACATAAAGGTTAGCAAAGTTTTTTTTTTTTTTTTTTTTTGGCGTATGGGCTGGAGCCCTAGTCCAGGCTCCGCCCTGATCCAGACAAAGGCAGAATGATACATTTTAAATTCACCTAAAGTATGAAACTAAAAATAATGTTGAGACTGAACATTTTAAATTGAAAAATAATGTTGGACAGATGAGGTGCAATTATTAATTTAACTATAATTTTTGGGTCAGATTGGTTCTATATAAATTTTTGACAATTAAATAAATAGTTTTCTTTTAATATAAATTTAAAAAATTGTTGGGTATCTTCTCATTAATATGATTTAATAAAACATAAAATGGTGGGTTTAATTATATATATATTACAATAATATTTACTCAAATTAGAATATTTACTTTACAACTATGATATAACCATAGACGGATCCACATGGGGTCCAGGGGGGCCATGGACCCCCCTCATTTTTTTTCTAATATATATATATATATATATATACATATAAAAAAGAAAACACTATAAAATATGGACAAAAATGCAAAAAAGATATTTATAATATATAAATTATTAAAACTTAGTTTCTATGATATTTTAATTTAAATTAATATAAATAATTAAAATATAGTTTTTATGCTATTTATTGAAAAATATACTAACGATCCTTATATTTTATATTATTAGATAAATTTTTAAACATATTTATAATGATTTACTCTTTTGGCCTCTTAATTGTAAATCGACTTAGTGATTTATAAAACCGAGTATTTAGTTGGATTGTTATATTTTTGAATGATTATTGTTTACATTATTTTTTTGTGTAATCACATATGTTTAGTTTTATTTATTTTTTTCTTAAAAAAAGTGGTTGTTTGATAAACTCTAATCAACAAAAATGCAATGCAACGTGCTGTAAATGTTAAATTTAAATCAAATTTCACATCCAAAAACTTTTTTTTAATAAATTATAGATGTTGAAATTAAATTATAAATATATGAAATCTCTTATTTTTTGTTTATTTTTATAAAATTTTGATGGTGATATCGATTCTAATTTTTTTAAAATTGATGTTACATATATCGATATTTATGTTTATAAGTAAACAAATTTTTATATTGAATGAGCGTTTTGACTTAAACTACAAGCTCGTTATTTTGTATATAAAATTTGACCCTTCTGAATAAAAATCCTAAATCCGTCACTGGATATAACTACTTTCTTTTGTATTCAAGATATATTATTTAAAGTTTATTAACAAATATAATTTGATTTAAACAACGTTTACTAACATGCTTTTTAAAATTGAATATGGAATCATCTTATAAAATAACGTATCTAGTTGGGATAAAAGACAATTTATATTTTGTTGATTTATTTAAAAACACATAAAACAGAAATAAGTGGAAGTATAAACAATGTAATTTCTTTTACATATATATTGTTTCAT